GGAGCATATCACTCTTTAACCCGAAGCATATTAATTTATATGGGGCTGTAATTGCTTCAGTGTGTCCTGGATTATTCCCCCTGTAATTGAGGCCTGGCAGAGGTCTGTTCCCTAGACATAGCCTCGTCCTTCCAAGTGGGGGGGGGGGGGGGGGGGGGGGGGGGGGGGGGGGCAGAGGAGGAGCACCACGACCCCGCCAGCCGGAGAGACCCCGGAGATAGCCCCCCCCCCCAAAAAAAAAAAACGGCACAAACGGTACACTTACCTGCATGCGTTGGGGCATCTCTCATGCCCTCGTTCAGAATGAGGCAGCACATTATCAAAAGTCCTGAATGTGAGCATTTGGTTTGTCTCCAGGACTAGTTGTGTTTACTGGAACCACATATTAAGTCTGTAATTACCGAACATGCTTTTGTTTTAGTATTTTTTTTGTTCGTGACTCAGTGGAACATTCCCGGACTTTCTAATAGACAAGCCTGCACGCTCTGACAGGTCTCCAGGTTACTGTGCACAAAATAATGTAAACACCCCACGAATAAGTCCCCCATTGTGTTTGCAGTGTGTGCCATACGTTGCACCTGCATTTCATGTGGACAGAAGATGAACAAGTATTATAGAAAATATACGATATTTCTGTTGGACTTAAATCAGTTTTCTTTTATTTTTGCTTTCCTTTTGAAAATAATAGATATTTTCACTTTCTTTCCAGCTAAAATAGAGAGCATTATTTCAGCAAAAAAGCTTGGATAAACTTAGTGTAAACCAGCACAGCACTACAGAACATAACGGGGCATTTACAGTTGAAGAGTAAAATTATTGTTTTAAGGAGTTTGTTGTGACAAATGAAAGACGAGTGCATTTTAGAGTTGTATTCCAGTAGGCAACTCTAAAGTAAGTCATTTGCATGAGAGTACATGGGCATGTATTGCTGTTGCATTAGCACTAACAATTTTTGTAAGTTATTTAATTCAGTGCAAAGTGTTGCAATAACAGTGCTTGGCCACATGGAGGCACTGTTTCAAGCTGAAGACACAACTCTGATATATCACCTTGTTAATTGATATGAGCTTGTTTGCATACAGGTTTTTATTTTATTTTACACCTAGCATACTTGAAGTAATCTTTATTTTAAGTCATGTTTGTTTTCACCAGTTTTCAAGCAGATTATTCGTCAGTTGTCGTTATGAGCAACACCTTTTATATAACACCAAGCCATTTCGTACATTTTTTGTATAAGGATATTGATTTGTGCAGCTTTAACTGATAAGCTTTATTTAGACTTCAATGGTAAAGCTACTCCTTGTTTGTTTAGCTACGCAGGCCCAATCACATTAGCTTTAGTTGTTGTTACCAGTTAAATAACTACCAGCTTGTTTGCAGTTGGGAGTCCACATTGAGCATGTGGCTCCTTTGTTTTCATCAGCAGTAAATCAGGGGGTGCAGCCTCCAACTTTAGTTTCCTGATTTGATGAAAACCCAGTCTCTTCCAGCATGTTCAGCGATCACAAACAGTTAAACTGTCCCAGAGATATTTTTTTTCAAAGTAGGTTTTGATCATCAACAGGCACCACAGAATTTCCGGGCCTTTTTGCCAAAATACTTTGACCCCTGCGAGTTACTACGGAAACATAGCGTATCAAAACAAGCGACCCATTTCTTGCTTTTGCTCCATGACGCACCTTTATTTCTTCCATATGAACAGTGTATGGCACAGAACAGGGCTTTGATAACAATATCTGCCTTTACTGCATGGACAGCAGAGCCACACACAAACTACCACAACCTGTGTTACCCTCATGCTTTGAAAAGTAATACACACGCATAGAAAAAGTACTTGCAATATATACCCTCCCTTCAAGCTTTAGTTTTAGTCGATGATAAAGAAGGTAACGCATACCCACTGAGCTGGAAACCCCTCGGACTAATCATGAGAATAGAGAAGGATTATACTAATCAAGAGTGTGTTTTGCATGTGTGTCCTCATGTGAACCTGTGTGTGTGCCCGGCCTCACACATTCCCTCCCATCTTGGGTACCAGCCCTCTATCATCCCTCCACGCCATGCTGTTAACATGGGTTTATCTTCTTTTCAAACTCTCTAATTCTCCCCCCCCGTCCTCTCCCTTTGATCCACTTACATTCATTTGCATTCTGCACCGCTGTCCGTATCTGTTTCTCTCTGACTCGGACATTTTGTTTGGCAGGAGACACCAGACAAGATGCTGTTAAAACTGCAAAAAGTGTCTGCTTCTTTGCAATTATTGCCTTTTTGTTAACGCATTAAACAGCCTTCCAAAGGGGGTGAGATAACTCTGCTTGCTGCCACATTTCTCACAGCTTTTATCGCAAAGATGCACATTTCACATTTTTTTGCAGTGAACATCTTCCTCTTTCTTTCTACCAAAAGGGAGTGAAAACAAGCCTCTCCCTGGTCAATGAGTTCACTGGGGCGGACGTCTCCTTAGACAGGGCTGCAGGGGGGGGGGGGGGTTAAAAAGTCTTGCAACCAAAGAGAAAAGTGAGAATGAGGGAGGGAGAGAGGGAGGGAGAGAAACCTGGCACCAAGACGGTACAGAGCGAAGGGTATTAGAGACGGCGAACAAGGGAAGGTCAGCCCCCCCCCCCCCTCTTATTCTTCTTCTTCTTCCTCCTACTCCTGCATCAGCAAATGTACAAGCCCATCATCAATACTGGCCGACCACAGTGATAACAGCAGAGTCTGTGATGAGGCGTTTACACGCTCCGCAGAGGGTTATATTAATGTCAGGAGTCAGGGAAAGAGGAGAATTTCACATCTAAGACGAGCTACTGACAGAGGGGCTTATGGGCATCAGTGACCGGCTACGTCCTGATCTGATGCTAACAAGGTCATCCTCTGGTCTGAAAGCAGCTTTGTCTCTATAATCAGAGGAGCATCATCATCATATTCCACATTGTATCAGCAGCTCTTCATGGTGACGCAACCCACCAGGGAGGCAAACAGAGACCCTGCCCGGGGTCTCGAGTAGAGATCAGTGCGTTCACAGAGACAGGAGCTGAGATATTGAATTCAGATATCTCATTTAATGCACTGACCGTCTGCATTTTGTGTAAATATGACTATATAAAGCAGGGCTGATACTACAATATTTGTCATTATCGATTAATGCAAAGTAAGATCTTCCCATCACATGTTTTGTCTGACTAACAGGCCAAATATATAAGAAACACAGTTTACTATTATTAATTATTCTGTTTATTTACATTCCAAGGTCAGTCCAAACATCCAAAGATGATGAATTTACTATCTGAGACGGATGAGTAAACAAATATTCCCCTTTGAAAAGCTTTTAGTAATTTTGGTTTAGAATGATTCATTTATTATCAAAGTTGTTATAGATTTAAGTACGAATTTCATCCTGATTTCCAAACCTTCTATTTTTGATCTGCATTATGTTCTGCAAAGCAACATGTTTTAAAACGTACAGTACACTTACACAGTAATTATTTTATTCATATAGTACTGTTTATTGGTTGTGGTGGGGTCCGCCATTCCCTCGCCAGATTTAGATTACTTTTCACCTTCCTGGAGTCGTATGGTCGCTGGTTGAGTTACTGTTTGTGGGATTGGCTTTTATTTCAAACCAGCCATTTATTGTTATTGTTATTTGTTCCAGTTGGCACTTACCGGGATTGATCATCAGAAATTAGTGATTACTTTTCATTGACTTCTGTGTTTAAACATTTGACATCATTGTAACCATGGGTGTGGCAAACATTACTATTGTGCATCATTACGAAACAATCCTTTATCTCACAACAAATGTTCTCATCTCGTGACCCCTCACATTTATCTTGTGGCCCCTGACCCCCCAATCCTCATGTTGTAAACCAGTAGCTAACTTTGGATAGTGAGTCGTTTCGGTGTCCTGTGTGGACGTGCTTGTGTTCTGACCCACTTTACCCCAACAACCCTAACTGTTGCGTGTCTCCACCCTCGGCCCCTCTGGATCCCACCCTGCTCCTGATGCATTTGCACACTGGCTGAGCATGCTGATATGTGCTGATGTGATTGGGTCACAGCACTTATCTCATGTTTAGTGCTTGGATGAGTGTTTATTTGCTGTCCCTGCTGAAAACAGGTCTTGTTAAGCCCCGCTCCGTGCGAAGCTGTTTCCTGTCATTTAGCTTGGCACAGTGGGAACATGGGGCCCTCACCTTAACATGTGGCTCTGCACAGCGGGGGCCATCAAGTATTTGTCAGCCCAGGAGCAAAGCATCCGGCTATAGTCTGACCCAAGGAGTTGGCTGGAATCTGAAAAATATGAGAAAAATGTCTTATTGGTCACATGTCTTTTGTTTTTCACACTTTTATTTTCAGATCCCTTGGTTCATGAAAGCATCACGTGATCACATCTGATTTGCAGGTAAACCTTCATATTTTGACTTAATTTCAACAGAGAAAACAGAGATTACTTAATTTCTGACTAGAAATTATAAAGATAAGGTATAGGAAATCAGCAAATACTGCATATAAGAACAACATTTAGACAGAACAAGACTTCAGACTAAGCTTTTCTGGCTATATCTGCTTTATATTCTCTATAGGTATTTTTTATTAAATGTTATATCTTTGTACTCGTTATAAAAAAAGATATTGAGATTATTTTATTATATTTATTTTGTATTGAAGTTGTTTTTCAAACTGTTTTAATGGCTTGTTATTGCTTTAATCATATCAGACTTTGGATAAAAGGCTGTGCCAAATTACGTACAACAACCAGCACTCTTATGAAAACCTCCAGCTCGCCTTTAACTTCTCCTTTCAGCGCATATGTGTGAGAGTGTGAGCTGCTGCTGGTGGGGCAGCACCGCTTTTCTATCTACATCTGAACTACTAACCAAGTCTTAGAGAGATCAAAATGCAATCCCGTTCTGAGAAAAAAAGAGAAATGACGTTATTTGAATATGTGCCCAAAATCCTTAATGAATAACTTAGGACGAGTAGGAGGCAAATGCTGCCCCAGCTGTTTCCTGTTGAAAATGTCTGTGTAATGTAGATAAATGTGAGGGATTTTCTCTAAATCCGTCTCCTGTTCGCTAAATCTCACTTCTCCAAAACGAGCCTGCGCAATGGAACAAAGTCGGAATATTGAGATGTGACATTGCCCGCATCTCATCCTCTTTCTCCCCGTTTTTAATGACTTCAAACAAGTTCATTTTCGCCGGGCTTTGTCTTGCGGAGACCCGTGGGGATGTCTAGCGCTGTTTCCTTTCAGTGGCATTTATGTGATGTCTTCAAGGTAACTTACCTGCTTTCCTTTGTATATATTCACCTTCACTTGCTCACTATTTGCACACAGCATCCTCAGGTTTAACTGTAAGAATACTTGTTTCAGTTTCAGATCATTTCAATGCTTTTACATGCATGACAGATGTGGATTTATTTCGATATGTTTAATCATTTTATTCAGTTACAGAGAAACTGTGCTGCATACGTTTAATGATGTTTTATTCTAACTAGAAATTGTCCCTTGTGCTTTAATTTACTTTTTTTGCTGTTGGAGATTTTGACATGAATCGTGCATGAGTTTTACTGCTCGGATGAATGGGTTTTCATCCTCAGAGCTTCTGTGCGCTCTTTTTCTCCAGAAAGTCTTAATGCAGCTCTGCAACTTTCACATAATTACTGCTGAGTCTGCATTATTAAGAGCTTAATATCCCACCTTAGGCTGCGGGGTTAAGACAGAGCAGCTTAACATGAAATGCTTAACGGCGTCGGGACCGTGCGGTTTGTGTTTGGATGCAGATGGATAGTGTCCTATGTTTATTCGTGTTATTATATTTGACCCACTCAGCTTCCTCGACCGGGTTTTGCGGGAGAGCCGTTTTCCATCTCCCGGAAAGATCCCTGGCGCTTTTTGCAGCTCTTATTCTGCTTTTTGAATGTTTACGTTTTTAGTCCAGTTCTGTGCGTAATAATGTGCATACAGGGAAAACTGCTGCCTCATTACTTAGATTTGATTAATGATATATTTTAAAAGGTTCTTGATTAATATTGATTTGTATTACCATGTGATGACGTATACAGGGCCTGAGTGGCGCGATGACAAGATGAAATGTGTCTTTTCAATTTGGACACGCTCTGCTCGTTGCACACAGGCGCTCCGGAGCATCAGAGCTGCCCAGCCTCTTGTTTGACTCTTTGACTCTGGCACCAAGTGGAAGTTTGGATTTAAGTCATTTTCCTCCACATCTCCAAACCCCTGTAAAGTTACCATCTGTGGCCACGGACACTTTTATTTCTTCTTTGTATTTCTTATTTATCAGAGCAAAGTGGAAGTTAGGGAGACGAGGCTTCAGTTCACTGGGAAAAACCTTATGTGGGAAAATGTTTAGTGTTTCACCCTCTGATGTGTCATTGAGCAAGGCACTGTGCCACCAACGATCACAGCAGATAGACTCAGTGGCCAGCAGTGTTATGTGACAGCTTAATAAAAACATGACTTACACTAAATTAAAATGAAATCTGTCTGTGATGATGCTCTGTGTTTAACAGCAGTGGAAATGTTAAAGCTGTCCCTCTCTCCCTGTGCTGCAGAGTGCGATGTGCTGTATCTCCTGTAGCCGCACCCTCTCACTACTGCTGTGCGTCCTCACCCTGACTCCGACGCCAACAGGGGCGGGCCCAGAGACCCTGTGCGGGGCGGAGCTGGTCGACACGCTGCAGTTTGTGTGTGGAGAGAGAGGCTTTTATTTCAGTAAGTGCACCTTTTTATTTATTCATAAAGGTTGGCTGTATCTGTCCCAGAGCTCTCCACCTCCAGCGAGCTCATAAATAAAAAAGCAGCCAGTTTGACATCTTGTCTTGGCTTTCCCTTCATTAATGTTCCCTTTCTTCCTTCAATCATTCCTCTTACATCCTTTCTTAAAGTTCACAGTCATCCCTGCACATATGTTGTAATGCTTCATTCTCATTGATGGACAGCTAACCATATTTTGAACATGCAAATGTTAATGAACTATGGAATAATCATAACACCTATATTATTGGTGGCAAATCACAGTTTTGCCCACTGTGTTTTAAGTGGAATTTGGCTGACTATGTCAAAAAAAGGGGAGGGGTAGAAACTAAATGTTGCAGGGAAGTTTTTTCTTCTTTCCACCAGAGAAGGGAAAGCAACCCAAAGAAAACCCTCCACCAACAATCCAGGATTTAAATCTCAGATTTTTCCATTAATGGTACAACCAAGCTTAGAGCAGCATAGGATAAATGGAGCTACGGAGGTTAGGTGCAATGTTCCACAGGCTGTCAGTGTTTGTCCGGACATGTATCCCGATCTCTCTGTCAAAGACTAACAGAGTGATTGTACATTAGCAGTATAGCTGGCTCACACACAACAGGGCTAAGATTTATTCACATTTATTTGGCTGACCTCCATCCAATTAACCCAATTTGCATTGAATGTCCTGGAGGAGCGTTGTATCTCCACGAAAGTCATTTTAAAGTTCCCATAATAATTGATTGTCCCGGTGACTTCCGTGCAGCTTTGACATAAAAATCCATTATTAATGGTTTGGGCCCAAAGTTATGAAAGATTTTCCACATGTGGTAGACTTTGTCAGCTGCCAATTTCAAAAAGAAAAGAGAAAGAAGAAGATATAAGATTTCTGTGGGAAATCAGCAGCATCTATAGTTTTATATTTCCAGTAATTTATTGTTTTCACCGGAACCTGAACCTGGAGTGGTTTGAGGATACACCTTCTGGAGAACCGGTGACTGATGGAGGATTAGGGGCCAGGAGGGGGCCAGTCTTTGCCACAGTACAGCAAGGAAATAAATGTAGTATTGGCCCCATGTAACCTATAATAATGCAAATCAAACGCAGGTACAAGCCAAAAACCTAAGTACATTTTATTGGCAAGATGATTACAAAGTGGTCTAGCCATCCTAGCTTTGTAAGACTGTACTGTATTGTACAGTGGAGCTTGAGCTAAATGCTTATGAGCATATGTTTTGTGGGATATCAGCCATAAACCAAAGTATTTATTACATCTGAAATATTGACTTGATCAGGGCGTTTTAGGAACATTAAAGGAATCACCAAAGTTAATACAGTTCATCATGAAGTGGAAGACATTTTGTTTAATCCCAACCTGTAGACATTTCCCTCAGAACCTATAGGTGCTGCCATTATCATCCTCTGGGACCATGAATGTCTGTACAAAGTTTCATCCATCTAGAATTATCATCCACTAGATCTATCTTAAAGCCCACAATGACCTTCATAGCCTTGTGAATCCTTGACAGTCCATTTGTGTAGGAACTCCAACCAATCCAGTGCCTGCATGGGTTGCTCTTGATTCTTGGCTTTTCAGTCCAATTCTTTCATGACCCCTCTGTTCACCTCTGTACTCTCTGGCCGTCTTTGTTGGTATTTCATCCGCGAATTTGAGCTGCTCTCCTTTATGCCAACACTTCCTGTTTGGCTCAGGCTTTTTACCCCGTCTAAACCCAATTGGTTAAACTATGTTTTCCTGTTGACGGGGCCTTTGCAAATAATACCTGCTACAGTCATTAGCACCCAATCATGGTACTGACATAGCTTCTTGTTTCAAGACAGCTGAAAATGTGATCCAACAGTGTGCTCTTGAAGCACATGTGATGGTGACAGCTCTGCTTTGCCTCAGTTGGTTGGATGATCATGGAACCATGATTGTTGGACAATTCCACAAAACCCAAGATTACGTTCAGTGATGTTTTTCCAATGTCAACAATTTAAAAGATGTTTGCTTTCTGCATACTGTTTGGTATGGTGAAGGGTAGGGAAAGATTTTTGAAGAAGGTGCTTCACGATTATCCACCACCCCAACGTTCCTGCATGTGCCAACATAAATAGTCCACTACTTTCTGCTTTAGCACTGCATATTGGATTAGATGTACCCTAAATGTTAGTCAAATATAGAGGGAACTCCAAGGTATACAGGCTTGTCACTGCAAAGCCAAGTATATTAAAGTGGTCGGTTTGGTTACACAATGTATGTCCAATGTCAACGAATACTACCAGTTAAAAAAGTAGTGCTCTATATAGCTAAATGTAAAATAAAAGTCTGGGATTATGAATGGGTGCCATGCCGGTTTTTGTGTCCAGTCAACATCCATCCCTGACCCCTGATAAAACGGTTGAGTGGACCATTCCAAAAATTCCACGAACATAGTCTGAAGTTTTCCCAGAATCCTCCAATACCAACGTATTGTCTTGAGGTTGTGTCACCATGCACCTTGCTGCTGCACCCCCCCCCCCCCCCCCCCCCCACATGACAGTGCCTCGTTCCTCCACCCCTGCATGCAGCTTTTCCAGGACCAGTCAACATCGGTCTCTGCATCAGGCCCTTTGTGCAGTGTTTGCCACATAGTTTGTTGGAGGGCTACCAAGCTGCTGCAAAGCTGTGAGTCTTGTTCATCCAGATGCTGCTGGCAACCCCTGCATGCTGTGAAGTGGTCATGACAGCCTGCTCCATTGCCAGTTTTCTGCCAGTTAAGACTTTTTGGTCTGTGGATTCCCTCTGCTTCAGCATTTCACTTGCATATATGACCATGTTCTCTTCGTGTAAGCTGAGAGATGGTGGAAGACCATGGACTGTTTGATCAAAGAGAGGGTTTTATTGGATCGTGCATAACATTTAGCATCTATGTGTTGCAAGGGTCTTGTCATTCTCTTCTTCAACTTTGGTCAATCTTTTCTTGCTCAATGGTAAATCCCATGTTAATGATTCAAATCTCAGTTTGAAGGTTTGTAAAATGTTCCAAGAAGTGTCTGCAGCTGTAGCGTAAAGCTGATGAAATGTTTGACGAGGTATGAGTGTTCAGAGATTGGATGATGTGAGAATGTGACAACGTGTTGGCTACTGCAGAGTTTGACTACAGCTTTGTACATGTTTCTCACAGGCTATATACGTATAGCAGTACTGTCCGTATTCATCTCATGAGAAAGTGTTGAATGGAGGCCAATGTTACTCATGAATCCTTACGTAGGATAGACTTCTTAAACATGAACATACCTTTTTGTGGTGCATAGAATATATTTGTCTTTGCCGCATTACCTTACACTGTGCAGTCACTGAACTACACAGTGTCCATCTATCAATGCCACATTTTCCTGTGTTGAAAAAAGACACTCCATCCTTTTTCTGAAAAGACGATGAGGTTTGAGCAGTAGGGTGCTGTGCCCTGGAAAATATGCTGCTCCCTGTCTTCCTCTGTTTCTCTCGCTCTATCATATTCTCTCTGTCATTCCTTTTCCTCTCTCTCGGTCGCCACATGCACCAGTGGCTGTTTGAGTAAAAATATCTGGATAATCCATTTGTCATCTATGGGAGCCGGCAGCGTAACAGCTTGGCCAACGGAGGCGCACTCCTTTCCCTGAACTCTTCCCCTCCAGTCTGACCGTGTTAAACTTGGCAGCCGTCTGATTGATAATGTGTCCAGAGACAGTGTTGCAACGACAGTGGGCTTTCTGTGCTGAGAGTGCTTTTGCCAATCCACCTTACACTTGCAACCAGTAAAATAGCCCACTTGCATTTAGAGACTACAGGGTTCCAACCCTGACAGAAATGTTAAATACTAGTTGGTGGAAATACTTTTTTTACGTAATGAAAAAAACTGCAGTCTATGAAACTGAAAAAAACCCACAACCGTAGTCAGTTTTTCCAATTATTTGCCTGACCTAGAAATCCTCAGTTGTCTTTATAATGCTTTAGCAGGCAGGACCTTGGGGTTATTTCACTCCAATGTTCATTCCATTAATCAGATGTTATGGGATTTTTTTGGCTGTAGTATGAGGGCTAAGTGGCTCCCAGTCCTAAGTCACTTCATATTGTATCAGTTCATGTTAAAGTATTCACATTTATTCTCGAGTGAACATGAGATATATAATCTTAGGATTGTTTTCTGTGAAATGATTGATGCTCAAACTCTCTTGAATTACGACCATATGGAACAATCCATCATTTTGGGTCAAGAGCCAATTGTTGGTATACGAAGTTCAGCCAAATATCCTCTCTGGTTAAACCATTTTAGGTGTGTTGGCTTGTACTGATGACATGAGTTGAAGGTGGAAAAGAGAAGGAACATTGCCTTTAGCAGCCATTGATGAGATTTCCTCTTCTGTGTTTGTCCCGGTCAATTTTATTCAAAGCCACTGGAGCTGGTGGGAGGTAGAATGTGTAAACAAGAACGTCACGGGCATGCACGCACACACTCAAACACACACATAGCTAGGTCTTGTCCCTTAGCAGCAGGGGATTATGTGGATTACAGGATGATCAGGACACCCCCTCTCCTCCATAGTTTTACACTGGAACTGAACACACGGCAGAAGGCTGAGATCTGAAGAAAGACCTCCTGTGTCCTCTCCATTATGAGAAAAGGTGTCCTTTTCCCATTAAGACCTGATCTAAAAATCTCAGACCCTTCAGTGAATTACTACTTGGTGGAACAAAGAGGTGTCTCTTGAAAAGAACAGGCAGGCGCCCCCCAGACTTAGTTCATTAGCTGAAGTTGAGACTCGAGGGATTTGAGGACACTCAGGGACCAAACAGTACTTTACCTTTGAAACCCGTCATCAGTTTAATCCCACCACATATTGTAGGACATGTACAAAGAAAACCGGGGACGTATCTAGTTGCATGAGTGCAGAGATCACCAAGGTTCATGGTTGATTTCCTGGACCTTTCTGGCATTCTTTCTTCTTAACTTTAGGTCTCATAAATTGTCTTCCATTTACTGCACACTATTGATCCAACACGCCCTTATACTAGAACGATAGGATTGGTTGTTTGCCATGACTCTAATTATTGTACATGTGAGCGACAGTGGGCAAATCTATTTTTGCTGGAACAAAGTCAGGAGATTTGTACCAGCCCACCTATCCACAAAAACCCTGTCCAATCTCTTCGTTACAAAATCGCCCATTCTTTGAATTCTAACTGATGTCTTATAATAAATCCCTTTTTGATCTATATTGATAAAGCTGTGACCAACACTCATTGTAGTGGCCCATTAGTGTGAGGAACACGTCCCCCATTCCATAAAGTCTTTGTGGTACTAATGATAAAGAGGTAGTTTCCAGTACTTTAGCAGCACTTAATCCCTTCCCCGCTGTAAACGGCTTGACACTTCGCAGGAAGAGCAGTGTCAAATCAAATCAAATTTTATTTATATAGCACATTTATAAACGATTTTTGGTCGAGCCAAAGTGCTGTACATATAATAAAAAACAGGCTCCAAGAATCCACTGGTTTTTATTGACCATGCTTTCTGTCCCACTCTGGAATGGGGGAATCCAGCCATCTCTCTCCAGTGCCGCTCCTTGGAGGAATGAACACTATGTGTGCTGAGGCTGTCAAACACTGAAGCAAAAGATGTTAGATGGAGCAGTGGAGTGGCATCAGATGAAACACTTAGTCTACGCTACATTTGACAGTGGGTAGTTTTCTGTTAAAAGGCTACTGGCATTCCACTTCAAAGGCATACTCTTTATAGTACTAAGCATTTTGAAGGTGGTTCTGAAAAGCCTGCTCATATGGGTGACAGTTGTAGTCAGCTTGGATTCTCAGTGAATACCATTTCATAACCAAAACATTTTAAGAACATAAAAAAAGATCTATAGAACACACTACTGGAGCATAAGACAGTGTTCATAAAACATCCTAACTCATTTTTAATAGCAGATCCATCAGAGAAAATGCAATGTCATCCAGCATTTTCTCTTACTCAACATTTGCCAAAGTACATTATAACATCTGCATAGGTTCTGCATGGATCATTAAAACACATGCATTGATTCATGTAAAGACAGAGGATTACATTTGTGTCCCCATGTTGACTCTTTACATTGTTAAAATAAAAGGCACTGTCAGAAGTGTTTTGGCTTCCGACAAGCTGTCAAACATAAACATGTTTCGTATTTAGTAATGCACTTCTATAACACTGTTGGACTCTTCATTCCATGTCTCAAGCTTCAAGTTACAACAGTTACTTCTGGTGGTGCTTCGTATTTTTTGTACAGAAATAGTGCAGAACAGAACTGCATCTTACGTAATGCTGCATATGGTTTGAAAGGGTACAGAACGTTTGCCATTTCTCCCCTACAACATAGTAAATCATACATGTAAGAGGACAGAAATCCACTAACTGCACTCTGCATCGTCATGATGGTTTAAATGCTGACACACGCTTTCTAATCTGACCCGAAACCCTCCCTCATCAGCGTGCGTGCGTCCCTAATCTAGAGTCCATTTCAAACAGCAGGGGGCCGCGAGGCGGGAAGCACTGGCAGAAAAGGTTGCTTGTCCTTATTTGTTTTACAACAGTCACAACCACAGCCCTCTTTTATGAGGGATTACAGCTGCTATCCATGCTATTGAAGCATTTAAAACCTTGCAAAGCTTTTAGACCTCATTATTACATGCATGATTTTCCCAAACCTGCCCCAGCTGATTATCCTACATGTTACAACCGGTGCCAGCTGCTTTTCTCTCCCTTCCAGCTGTTTGTGCAGCAGGGTTGCAAGCTATTTCCAGAATAATAGCGGATGTTAATTTGTAAGGCTTTATTGGGAGGAATTGCCAAAACAGGCCAGGCAACAAGGCATGGCCCCTCTTTTGGCTTTCAGCATACATTATATAATCGTTAGCCAGGGCTCAACTTCATGTTTCTCTCTTTCTAAATCAGGTGTTAATATATAACATGCAAAGGTAAACTGCAGGGAAAAAGAAAGAATGACAGTGGAATACCTGGCATAGTCAAAAGCTGAATAAGATTTTTGTCATCTCCATATTTCATTTAATACATCCCTTTTGGCAGTTTGAGATCTGTGTGATTCTGTTTCTTCCTGTTCCCTAAATAATGCAGGTGCACAATGTATTTTTAGCATCATTCTACCTGATATGCAACACGAAAGCCTCCCTATTGTCCCCCTTCCCTTCCCTCTCATTCACACCTCCATTACCTTCCACTCTGCTTTGTGTCTGGGGGTCCGAGGAGAAAGATGCTTCTGTTTCTGAATGAAAGCTTCTCTCTGTCCAGAACAACATTGTTAGGACAAGGCAGACAGAGAGCAGCAGTTAATGGACTTTGTCAGCACTGGCAGGCTTCTGAGCCAAGAGCTATTAACTCTGAGAGGGAAAGGCATTTCCTCCTTGTAAATGCCATATTAAATTATTATTATTTTATTTTGTAAAAGAGAAAAGCCCATCAGGGCTATATTGCTCAAGGTGAGTAGGGAATTTTTAATGGAGAGTCTGCGTTTTTCCAAAGGCCACCAACAGAGGGTGGGTTTTGTGGGGGTAAGGGAGTTGAAAGAGGAAGTGAATATTTGCGTCATGGTAACTTGATGTGGCCACTCAGTCAACTAGAGTATCACACCTTTAAATAAGGTTTTATACATTCTTTAAGTGATAATATACATAAAATATTTCCACCTCATCTCTTACTAAACTTGTACACACGCTGCATCATGCCACCATCTTTGCACCCATTTTCTAGCAGAGAGGCTCCAGGGGGCTTCTGCCAAACAAAAATGTGAATGAACCGTGCAGCAGAGCCAATGGGGGTGAGGCCTCCAAGACTGCCTGGCTGTTTCTGCAGGTTGATCAGACCCAGAGGGCCTGTGGTTTGGCCCCGCTGGACGAGACTCTGTGTAAAAGATACCTGGGCCAAAATGGCTGAGCGTGATTTTCTCAACGTTTGGGTGACTGCGGCCCATTTTTTTACAGGGAAGCAGCTGCCAAAAAAGTGTCCATAGTGTGCAATGTGATACACTGTAAACTATACGCGGAAAAAATCCATATCATTAAGGCCGTTCATACATCAGAGGAATCAGACCCTGACCTGGCCATTATCACTGCTTTATTACAAGCATAGGGTTTGGCCACTAGCCACAATTAGTTTGATTAAATCTGCTAACCCTGATAAAGCAATGTAGAAGTAAAAAAAATCTTAAGTTGATAAAACCCCTTAGTAACTGTTGCTATGTTTGTTAAACTTTCTGTCATAATGAGATTTACGACCGAAATGTCTTAGTACATTTATGGCGCATTTCCACTACAGGGCCTCGCTCGACCTCGCTCTGTATGGCTAGGTCTCGTTAGGCCTTGTTAGGACTGGCTCACTTTATGCTGCGTTTCCATTACAGTTTAGTAGCTGGGGCAGTAACTATATTAACGCAGTGTAGGTGGAGCCGTGACGTCATCTTCAATGAGAACCCCAGAAAAACAACATTAGCTGTTAGCACTCAAGCTCACAGCTCCTCATATCTGTTCAGAAACTAGACAAAAGTTAAACAAGTACAAACCACTGTCTGTGTCATGGCCAATACAGTCGCTGGTTTATTTATGTCTGTATAGGCCGTTGTTGTGAGTGTGGACGGTCGGAGCATATACTGCGTTAGCTTAGCCGATCTCCATTCAGAAAACACGCATTTAAAAAAGGTTTTTTGCCTGCCGTCTGTCTGCAGACTTGTCAAAGCATTAATTCATGGTTTTTACTAACCGGTATCAGTATGTTGTTACTTCGGCATCATTTTGAAACGTGTATTACAATTAAATCACGGTCAAATATGTTCATTTTGCTGTAGTTGTAGCCCCCTTGCCAGCGATTCTCTCTCTAGTTTAGCATACTCAGCCCGACTCAGCCTGGTTGTTGGCCCGGAAAGAACCTCGATTTTATGGGGCCAGAAAAACAGGTAATAGTACCCGCTAGCCGGAACTACGCCAAGTGGAAACGCAACCAAAAACGGGCCGGGCATGTTTAAAGCAAGCTCCACGCTGTAGTAAATGCGCCATTAGAACAAAGAGTTCTGGACTTCAGCAAAAGCAAGACTTCAGACAAACAGGTTTTCAGTCCAATCAATCATTCATCCTCACATTGGGGTGTTGTAATAATACCATCAGAACAATGGGCAGTTTCCATAATTGCCAGCTTTGTATTTGCCCAAATGTAACTTACTTTGACTCTTTCTGCTGTTCCTCTCAAACAGGTAAACCAACAGGCTATGGCCCCAATGCACGGCGGTCACGTGGCATTGTGGACGAGTGCTGCTTCCAAAGCTGTGAGCTGCGGCGCCTGGAGATGTACTGTGCACCTGTCAAGCCTAACAAGGCTGCCCGCTCTGTGCGGGCCCAGCGCCACACAGACCTGCCCAGAGCACCTAAGGTTAGTACCGCAGGGCACAAAGTGGACAAGGGCACAGAGCGTAGGACAGCACAGCAGCCAGACAAGACAAAAAACAAGAAGGTGAGCACAGCATCAAACAGATATACTCTGAAAAAATGTACTCTTCAGGAAATGTGTAAGAAAAAGCAAATATGAATGTTTTGTTAGCTTCTATCGGAGCATGCATACTTGATATCCATTTGTTTTCTTTCTAAGGGTTAGATGAAGATTGATACCACTCTTTTATCCAATTGAATAGATAACCTAACCCAAAGCTTACAAATTGATAGTAGGTCAAAACACCTGGCACATTCTGATATTGCCTAATAAGGCTAGCTGTTTCCACTCGTTATGCTCAGCTAAGCTAACTAGTTGAAGGCTGTGGTTACAGTGTTTATTCAGCTTTAAATTGGAGTGGTCTCAAACTTCTTATCTAATTCAGTTACTTTAAATGGTCAGTAAGTAAGTTTAAGTTTGCTACTAACTTGCTGTAGGCCTATAAGTCAAATGAATACATCTAATCTAAATATCTTCCTTTTCTTTCCACAGAGACCATTACCTGGACATAGTCATTCTTCCTTCAAGGTATGCAAGTTGTTGGCTACCTTTTTTGTACATGTTATTTTTTAGATCTCCGTTCTGAAATCTTTGTCTCATCTGGCCCGAGAAAGACAACGTGAGACCAAAATGCAGACTCTGTTTCATCCTCGAGTTGCAAACCTGCAGGAGAGTGTGATCCTTTTAAGATTCCACTGTGCTTTTTACCCTTCTCTCAAAAAAGAAAACCATTAGCAAGAGACAGAACTAAGTGGTTTTTGTGGTAGACCCAGTAGCACTCCTGCTCCCCAGGCAGAATTTCCACTCTGCTACTGTACATTATGTGCGGAAATTCTGGCGTCTCACCATAAACAGACTGACACATGCATGGTCCAGATATGAAGCCTATCACCTTCAGTGCATATCTGTGTGCAGTGACTTTCAAAGCACTCATCTCTTTGTTCATCTTTTCATTACCCTCACATTTGTATAGTTAGTTGTTTTTTTTCCATTTCAATATTGGAACTAGCAGTTATTCTCATGGCCCATTATTCCGATGGCCAATTATTCCAATGCCCAATAATCTGAAGAATGTCTCATTGGACTGACATTTTATCCTACAGCTTGTTGTCCTGATAGCAAACTCTTATTGCTTCGCAGGCCAATTATTAAAAGGTTCCTGACTTAAGGAAAGTACTTACTGTACCTCTGTGACCAAGTTTTGTTTTCACCATCCAAAGATCGTAGATACAGAAACTCCTACATCTGTCCCAAAGCCTGCTTATTTTATCCTGTCTCTACAGTGTCTCTGTTCAATGTCTAAAATGCGTTTCTCTTTCATTGCAGGAAGTGCATCAGAAAAACTCAAGTCGAGGCAACACGGGGGGCAGAAATTACAGAATGTAGGGAAGAAGCGAATGGACAAATGCCCAGCTGCTTGGGAAGAGAGAAGGGAGTGGCCTTACCTGGTACCCCTGTGGAATGGTTCACTGAAAAACAAAAATGATGCTAACAAAGGTCCGGAAAGCTCTTCAAAATGATTAAAACCTGAAAGCTAAGCTGTGTTTAAGGGTTTGATGAGGAATCTTGTGATTATTTTATACACTGCACCATTCCATATCGGGAGGAATTCTTTGTTAATGCAATGTAAAAGACTAGTTTAGCTGCTGAGACACAAACAAGAGCTTATTATACCTCCATGTGTTGGCTGCAGCATCCCCTGGCTTCAGAAAAGGTTTGAATGGATCTTAGCATCAGCCAATCAGAGAGCAGCAGGCTGTGCTTCTGAATGAGTTGTCCATCCTGTCCCCTGAACTTAACGGAGGTAAATTCATTCAATCTGAGAGAGTGGATTCATAGGATACTTTTTCACCGGTCATAACAGTTACTACCCCAGTTAACATCTGGTTATCTTACCGTCAGAGTTTTTATGCAGCATGAGAATTAGTAAAATCAAGGTTTGCTTTAAAGGACAAAGACCAGGTGGTTTAATAATTTAAACATTATTGTAGTAATATTTGGGTCAAATTAAAATCCCTAATTCTTATAGTCTAGCACAGTGTTTATGTCAAGGTTAAAGGTCCCTTGAAATCTTCAGGAAGTGTTAAAAACCTGAAGATTGAGTGTAAAATCCCAAAACTTCTATAACTACAAACAAACCCAATTGGAGAGGAATTTAAGGAAGATTAACCTGAAGATACATTGATATTTAGTGTATTGGCTATTCATTAAATGGTGCTTGTGTGGTTTTAGAAAGGGGTCGTTCAGTGGACTCAAAGTGCATTGGACATACGTCAGTGGAATAAGTGGAATTACGATAATCAGGCAAAAATGTTTGTTGTGGCCAAATCAAATTTTTTGTCAACAATCCAGTCCCTGAGTGGAGGCCTGTGTTCAAGGTTAAGCGCAAGTCATGCAAGTTTAGTCACGGCAAGTCAACAAGCTTTCAAAAAAGAGTAGAACATTGTTCTGGAACAATATTTTCCCAAATCTGTCAACACCTGAGTTTGAGGCAAAAGAAGGTGAGGTTCTTCCAATAGGGGCAAAGATGGGAGGTTTAAAGATAGATATCAATCTTGGGCTGATATATTATGTTAGTTTCTACTTCAGTTGTCGCTTGGACTGCATTACCTGCCATTACGGCTTGAGAACAACAAAACTCCACAGCATCTGTTGCAAAGTCCATCTGAAAAATCTATTTTGTTAATATTGCAAATCAAAATGAGAAGTCTTCCTGGAGATATGAGATACAGCACGCTTTTAACAAACCCACAGACAAAGCACACACAGTGTAAATGAGAGTTGTGTAACTGTGAGCAAGAGTCAAACACACACATAAAACACACACACGTTTCATGATAAGCCAGTTCTAAGAAGTCCTTGCATGAGGACTGACCACCCTGGCTGTTTGCTCAAGCCTCCATGCAGGTTTAAAGTCATTTTATTGCACAAACCGCCCAAGACATCTCATCTCTGCCTCCTCTGCCTGTGTATAATCAAACAGTACTCCCATTTATGTTATACCTATGCATCGCTATCATTCATTGTACATGATAGTTTCATATAATAAAACTGTATTAAGAATCCTATCCACTGTATAATGGTGCTATTTTGTAGTTTGTTACTTGCAAGAGATGGCTAAGTCGGACAGATGGCAGGGCTTACATTGGAGGTCTTCCCTTTTGCACAGCCTTGTGGCCACCATTTTAATAGTGTTTTATTTTGTAAGCTGTTTAAGTAAGGTAGTAGTGTAAGCGAGTAAATGTATCTGTGTGAAATATGTGAATGCATGGAGATAAAAAAATACAAGAAAATACAATGTTGTGGTCCCAAGAAGGCAAAATGCTATTTTTTCTACTGTTTTTGAATTATTTTCTCAATATACATCCCTTATGCCAAATAACTTGACAAAAGTACTGTGAACTGTGATTCTTCCAATTGTATTGAGATTGATAAAAGTCATGGTGTGCTTTTGTCTGTCCTAAGATGTGTGTTTACATGCACCTCACTGGAAGAAAAATAATTGATTATTAAAAACACTTATCGCGAGACTACACTACTTTTGCTGAACAGCGGCCACTGTGGCTACAAGTTGTAATTATGATATAAATGCAAATTAAACTTGCCTTAAACTTGTTTCCCAAGATCTTCATGAGTCCGACACCAACATGTTATCTGTGTCACGCTAACCTGTAGTGTAACAAGAGCACAGTTAGAGAAGAGCTATAATGTCAGCCAATTTACTTATTAATATTGCACAGCGTCTAGCTTTAAAAAAAATATTGGGACAATTTGTAAAATTAGAAGATTAGAAGCAATTTCAGATTCCTCTGTTTAACACAATATTTCAGCCAGCAGCCGGTTAGCTTAGCTAAACACACAGATTGGTAACAGGAGGATCATCTAGTTTTGCTTTGTAGAAATGTCAACAAAATACGCCACATGGTGTCGTTTTTACATCTCAGTTGTTTTACTTACAGATTTAAAGGTAGGGTAGGTAAGAATGAAGAAACCAGCTCGAGTGCGCTAGAATTTGAAAATACACAGCCGGAAAAAATCTGCCACTTCCTTACAGAGCCCCTCCTCCAACACACACGAACGCGCACATGACCAATGAGGGCACAAAATAAGCCGGGCCTGCTAAAATGATTGGTCGTGCTTTTTACAGTACTACGGCTTCCACAGATGACATTTTTTATGGATTTTTTGTCAAAGCACTTAAAATATTCATTGCTATCGGGATGTTAAGAGCATTCCATGGAATATAAAAGTGTATCTCGAGCCGGTTTCTCAAACGTACCTACCCCACCTTTAACAAACACATTTGTATATTAGTATGTACCGTATGTACGTTGTAGGGGTACTGTTTGGCAAGCTAGCCACGAGAGCTTTCCCGCTTGTTTCATTCTTTATGCCAAACAAAGCTAACTGGCTTCTGGATGTAGCTTGATATTGTGGGCTGAGTCCTAAAACACGGAAATTATTAAGCATTTTTGACTAAACATTTTACTACATCAGCTAAATGACTAATATTTTCAACCATCAATATTGAATACTGTTTTTATCTGTCAACATAGGAATTTGCTAGTTTACTTTTGTTCTTTAATTATTTACAAATTACATAATCGACATGCAGAGCTAAAATGTTAACAACGTTGCTTTTAGAGCCATTCTGGTTCTCGAATATTTTCAGATATAAAGTACAAACCAAATACTTTTTAATAGAACAAAGCCTCAGTCAGCATTAATAAGCCATGAATCAAATCATTCAATATCAATTGAGGTACGAAGTGCACTGCAGCCACAAAACGCCCTCCAAAAACTTGTCTCTGGTACCTGAAATATAGCTTATAATGTCATAAATAGCAAGGTTAGCCAGACAAAAGTCCTTCTGTGTGTCTGATATATTTAAAGAAAGCTACAGCAACCAACTTCAATGTGACTATGATTCAACCATTTTTGTTTGTGACCTGTGTGAAATAATGATCAATAAAGTTTAAAAAGTGGTGCTGAAACATTCACAACTCTTTGAGGTGTTAAATGAGAAAACATAATTTCCATCACTGTCCAAGAAAACTTTTTGATTAGAGCGCTGTTATTTTTGGTGCTCTATTGCCTTCTGTAGAAAAAATACTGACACATTGTTCACCATTCCTGCTGAATAAACCACTTGTCAACATCACATAAATGCCTGGAGAGTCTTTTTTAATGCAGCATGTACATACGCTACATATTTTCTGATTTAAAAGGACGAAATTACTGAAATTTCACATTGAAATAAGTATTCGGGTCCTTTGCTATGACATAGGTGCCTCACATTTAGCTTGATTATCTTTGAGCTGTTTCTTCACCTTGATTGGAGTCCACCTGTCCTGAGTTCAACTTATTAGAGATCAGGCACACACCTGATATATAAAGACCTCACATCTGATCCGCCGGCCTAAAAACAGGATTGTGTCGAGGCACAGATATACAGAAAAGGCTACAAAAAATGCCTGCTGAAATTATTTAAGAGCACAGTGGCATAGAGTTGGCTATCAGGCAATACTCAACATTAGGGGGAAAAGGGCCTTGTTAAGGGACGTGACCAAGAAATTAAGTTTAACTGAGCTTCAGACCTCCTTTTGTGAATGCAAGAAACTTCCAGAAGGACAACCATTCCTGCATCTCCTTCGTGAAAGACATTGGAAATCATGTTTGAGTTTGCAAAATAGCTGTACAGCTTGTTGCTTTATACCCCAGAAACTTTTCAATCAATTTGCACAATATGAGATTGATGAGGTGGGAAATTTGTTTAAATGATTTTAGTAGAAGGCTAAAACATAACAAAATGTGAAGGGGTTCAGCTCTATGTGATTCCACTGCACACTTTTAAACTTGGAATATCATCCTGTAAAGCAGTGATACTCAACCTGGGGGTCACATTTGGTTCAAAATAGCAGCCAAGTGGCATGTTGAACATTTTCTTATGCAGAATGAAAATAAATTGATTTACAATGCTAATAATGTGCTTTCAATGTAAATACTATGCCCTGAGTGGATTAAAAAGCATACAAATTGACTCACATCACTCCAGTTCTGAAGTCTTTACACTGGCTTCCTGTGTGTCAAAGAATAGATTTCAAAATACTGCTGCTGGTTTATAAAGCACTGAATGGTTTAGGCCCAAAATACATTTCTAATCTTCTGCTAAATTATGAACCATCCAGATCTCTCAGGTCTTCAGGGACTGGTCAGCTTTCTGTCCCCAGAGTCAGAACTAAACATGAAGAAGCAGCATTCAGTTATTATGCTCCAAATATCTGGAACAAACTCCCAGAAACCTGCAGGTCCGCTGCAACTCTGAATACTTTTAAATCCAGGCTGAAGACTTTTCTTTTTGTCGCTGCTTTTAATTTTAATTGAAACTGAGCCGTTGTGTTCATCAGTAAAGTGGAACTTCTTTTAATGTTTCTTTTATTATCTTTTACTGTTTTTAAATGCCTTTGTCTGAATGTCTTTCATTTTTGTAAAGCACCTTGAATTGCCTTGTGTTGAAAGGTGCTATATAAATAAACTTGCCTTGCCTTGCCTATAGACTATATAACTTGCCCATGAGCCCCTTTCATTCTGCAATAGTGCAAAACAAGTCAAGATTCCCTGCTCCAAAGGCATATTATGCAATCACACACTGGTAAACTCTACAACCATTATGATGAACCCAAAGCTGAGGTTTTTCTTTTAAGCATGTGCAAATCTTATAAGAAATCTTTGCCATATGAAGCCGTAATTCAAGCTGAATCGTGCACTGTGAAGCTGAGTGTGTGCTGAATGACAAAGTGATACTTCCTAAGAGGTGGTGGAGTCTGCCAAAGCAAACACAGCGGGGTGTGGTGCTCCCAGAGGCCGGAGCTGCATGTTCAGCTCTTTGGAGGATGCTCGCAGTGACAGCACGGAGCTCTAACTCACTCACTGTCAGCATTTTTTCTCAACGGATGAATGTTGGACAACAATAAAACCCTAATAAATTATCTCTCTGGCCGGCGCACAGCAGGCGGCGGATATCAAAATGTGGAGTAGCAGCAGGGAGGTTGGCGAGGTCCCGGCCACCCTGGATGTTATTTCATCCGTCTCTATGGCTAATACATAATCAATTATCTCACCCTAATGGTCCAATTGCAGGCTGCAAGCTTGCAAGATTTAGAGTTCAAATAAATCTGAGAGAAAATGTGTGCAGAGTCCTTTCCAGTGGCGAGTAACCAAGCCATCACAAATAAGCCAAAATATAATACGGATGTTTCGGTATCATCCAGTTGTAATTATAGTAAAATACAAACCCCAAGATGTCTTGAAAATGCTCTGTTTATCCTCTTATATGTGCTAATTTTGGATTACATGGTGACTCAATAAGTGCAATGCAATGATGTTTTAAGAACCTCAAAACCTCACTGAAAAAAACTATCGGTTTCCTATTGATCTGCGCACACTCAGGATTCAGTGCATCTGAGGACACAGATTTTGGACCAAGCTTTGAAACACAATCCCTCCACACTCTTCAACTCCTCATCTTAAGCACACAATTGTCTTTAGAATGACCTTGTGGTCTGCTTTACTACACTCACCAATTTCACTACTTATTCTATTGGTTGTTTTCATAGTTGGGTGTAACTGTGTTACTGTAATAATATTACTTTTGTCGGTAACGGAGTAGTGTAACACGCTACTTTTATAATTCAGTAATCACACTACAGTTACTAACATTGCCCCGTGTTAGAAATTAAAATCAATGTTTTTAATGGCATAAAGTACCTTAAACATACCGTCAGTTTAAATGCTGTTTTATACTGAAAAACCAGAAGTTCTTGTGCACAACCAGTTATTAAGCTTTTATTCTGAAAATCCTTCATCCCCGGTTAGCATTTAGCATGTGGCTAATATACCATTTACTATAGAGGTGAATTTAGCAGCGATATGATATGATGTTGCACACCGAAACCTACTGATTTCAACACTACAACTATAGACGTCGAGATATTATTATTGTTGAATATTAAATGAAGGTACAGTTTATTTGTGTACGTTATTGTTTACAGATGTGGGTAGCATGTGACAACTTCCGGAACGACCGGAAACCAAACTGCCGTGAAGTATTTCCTGTATTTTTTGGAGTATTGATTACAGCGTTTAGAATGTGTTAAATGAAAAGTCATGAAAGAGTTAAGGAGGAGAAAATGCGTGTTTAGATATATATTGAATGTACAATGTCTGTATCCTCTGATATGCGTAACAACGGACATTAAATACGTGGAGGGCCGGCCCCCAGCAATGCCGATCGGCACACAAGGAGGAGCCAGCAGAGGAGATATAAGAGCGGGAGAGGGGGAACTCGCTCTCTTCCTTTCGCTCACGAGAGCCAGATACACAGCTGTTTTTCTGTCTGAACAATCTTCTGTTTGTAACATTACCGCGCCATATTTTTTATTAAAATTAACCATTTGAACCTTCTCAGAGACTCAATTAGTCTCATTTTTTAAAGCTTCTCTCCTGGACGTGAGAATAACGAACACAGATAACACCCGACACGCGTTATTTCGTTACTTACTAAAATCAGTCATAATCACCACACTGACAGACAAGAGGGGTTTCCGCCGCAGGTTTATATGTACGTAATCTGCGCGCGCGTCCACATCTCCACGTGCAGTGCTGTGCTGCATAAACATGGCTGAGTCAGCGATAACTTTCGAGGGGTGGAGGTATGCCCATTATTTTGAGTTCGTCCGAAGAATAGACAGGAATGTGACGGTGAGGTGCAAACTGTGTCCAGGCCAGAAGCTGTTATCCACTGCTGTAAACACCACGTCAAACCTCAACAAACCCCTGCAAAGAACACATGCTAAGGTGAAGCTAATGCACACGCTATTTGTTGTTTGTTTATATCCAGTGTTGTGCTAGTTACTGAAAACCAGTAACTAGTTACCATTACTAGTTACTTCATTTCAAAAGTAACGCAGTTACTGTATTAGTTCCTTACACCAACAAATAATGCATTACTTATAAAAAGGGCTCCCATTAATGCCCTTATAGCCTTAATTTCAGTACTGTTATTGCATTGGAGAATAATACAATCTGTTGATCAACTTGACATGCATTATATGCAATCTGGATTGCATCGATATTAGCTGGCTTTCCATTTTTGTATATTCTTTCTCCAGGTAGTTGGAAAAAGTTTTCCGTGCCGTGTGCCGCCCGGACATGCTATCATGCTAACTAGCTCTCTGAAAGCGGGTGACTCCACTGTAGCAATAGCCTGCATGTGTTCTACAACATACCGTGCAATGGCTTTATCGACTTTTCCCTGGCTAGCAGTCCCTTGGTTAAAATCCAGCCGCTGTTGCTTAGGTGGAGGTGGAGTGGCGTCGGCTGAGTCTCTGTGGTCTTAGCTACTAGCTTCATCCCAGCATGTTGTTTTTGCAGATGTTTTAAGAGATTTGAATGACTGGTTTGGGCAGTAGATAGGATCTTTGACCCGCCAAGACACAACTTACATTTAACTAAAACGTTCTTTTCTTTGTGCTCGACAAAAGTGAAATAGTGAGAATATCTCCAGGTGGAGAAACTAGACTTGAGCTCCGCCGCTGCCATGATAGTCTTGTTAGTAAACAACACAAACACGCCCACAGCCCGTCTCCGCATGTGACACAGGAAGTATCTAAGTACATTTACTCAAGTACTGTACTTAAGTACAGTTCTCATCTCTGTTCGCTTGGCTGTTGACTATATAAAAAAAAATTAACACAGTAACGGAGTAACGCACCATGTAGTAACGGTAACTGGGTTACTGAATTTAATAAGTAATGCGTTAGAGTACTAGTTACTGCAAAAAATAACGGCGTTACAGTGACGCGTTGCTTTGTAACGCGTTAGTCCCAACACTGTTTATATCACGTAGTCTGTTCTTCTTCTCTGTCTTCCGGTTGTTGCCTGTTTTGAATGACGAATACACACTACCGCCGCCTGCTGGTAAGGAGAGTTATTGCCACTCACGTGCTCGGCTGAAGTCTTTGCGGTGTGTTCCAGTGCAACACATCCTCACTCCCAGGTCGGCCTATGTTGACGTTATGTCAAGTCCCCTGTCGGCTTTTTCCAACGCAAGGGGGGGGCCTTAGCATCCATTTTCAACGCAAGGGGGGGGGGCCCTTAGCG